CCTCTCGCTCCCTTCCTTCTCTCCAGTAATCATACGGTCACTTACGCTGGCGTGCTGGCCTCAGCAGCCGCCGCCACCCGCCCGCCAAATGACGATGCCATCCGAAAAACGGCCGAGCAAGAGGATAAACGAATGGAGGGTCTTTACATGAAAGCGAGTAGTGCGTCGGCGGCTCGCAGTCCAGCCAGGACTGTTAAAAATACTGTACCAGAGTACAACGAATGTATGCTATGTTTGTGAAGGTGCGGTACATGGGCGTTGTCCCTTTTAATTGTAGTCCCCATAAGACTCCATGTTAAAGAATATTGGACTTTGGTACCTCACTGCGCCTCACTCAGTGTAATGCGGTCAGGCAAGGACTTGACTCCACGGCGAAAAAAGTTTCTTGTATTACAAAACCCGGTCTTGGATCTTATAAAGAACGCCAATGGCATCCAAGACCAGGTCTTGTAACACAAGAAACTATTTTTACCGTATCGTGCGTGTTGTGCTATTCTCTGACAGTGAGTGGGGCGATTTCGTGCCGCGACGCTGGCTCCAAATGACTAGGCCACAGTAACGTAAACGTAGCACATTCGTACGGGCAGTGCAGCGCAAAAAGAACGGTTTCAGTGTTTTTCATCGTACAATTTCCCAAAGAAGAGTTTTGTCTAAATCTTGTTTTTAAAAAAATCTCTTTTAAAGTGTTGGAGGTTGGTATAAGTGTACGTATAGACACTCTAAATTATGTGGTCCCTTGCATGGCCCTCGCGTCGCGACCAAATCCACCAAATAATGATAATTTTAAAAAAATCTCTGTAACTAGCGCGTTGAAAGCAACCCTTGCCGTCTCAGCTGGAAATGAAAGAAGAGCACGCGTCCGCTGGCAGCGATCCCGGCCGCGCCCCCGGCGCCTAACGAGCCGCTTAAACAAGAGCAGCTGCTCATGGAAAGGGGCAGCAGGGAGAGGGCGATTAGGAGAAAAGATAGAAAACGCCGAGGTGCAACAGTTGGTACTGCTGGAGTGGTACTTCCCGGCTGCTGGCTGGCCATTCATGAGGACAAACACGCCGACAGGCCTCCCCCTCGTTCCCTGGGGGGACAGGAGAGAGAGAGAGAGAGAGAGAGAGGGGGGGGGGATAGAAGGGTGCAGCCACAAAGGCGTTCACAGATGGATGGGGAAGGGACAGAGGAAGCAGATATTTTTTTCCGCTGCTGTTCGAGCTTTGTGCTGCTGAGAAGGGACCCAGACGGGATCAGACACGATCAGCACATCAGCCATCTCACCTCCTTTTCTATTTGCTCCCTAGCTCGCTGATCCTCTCTCCTTTCCATTTATTTATTTTTTATTTTTTTTATTTGTCTTTCTCCCTGCTCTTCTTCTCGCTGTTCTTCATCCCCTTTACTCTCTCCGTCTTCTTGGCGACCGACTCCTTCGGGAGTTGCGCGTTTGTTCCTTTGTCGCCGATATTGGAACTCGCTCCGCGTGTCATGAAGACTCTCCGACGTGATGAGCCAATCACAGCGGCGTTCGCTTGCGTTTGCACAGCTGGGGGACTGGTGCAGCCGCTGCATCTGTCTCTGCCCCTGGGGGCTTCGAGCGAGAAAGAGGGGGGGGGGGGGGGGGCGGTATAAAAGCCAGCCAACTCCCAGCCACGGTCGATGCTTGTCTTTTTGTGGTGCCGGTACCCTGGCGGGGCTTTCTCTTTGAAGAGCAGACCGCCCTCTGTTGGATAAAGATGCATCGCAGTGTGCTTTTTTATCGGCGGGGATATGAGAGGACAGAGGCTAGAAGTCGATAGGAGGTATAGGCTGTAAAAAAACGTACCCTCTCCCCCATCCCCTTCCCTTTGTTGGGGGTAATTACTGCTTCGCTACGATGGATGCCAGCCCGCAATCAATCACATTTTTTTAGGTGAAAGCACTGAGTGAAGTATATTTGTAAATTTGTACTTTTCCATAATTTTTTGTTGAAATTTACAATCGATTTTGTAGACTGTCAATTTGCACTTCTAATTGTAAAAAATAACAATTGCCCGATCTGAGGCAAGACGGTTTTCACGAAAGCAGTCACATTTACGCGTTTTGCATATCACCGGAATACCTTATAACGTGCTGTGCACATGGGAAGAGGCCCGAGGGTCCGATGTTTCATTACCAAACTAGTTTAAGTTAGGTAAACTGAGGTAAGCTGAGCGCAGCACGCCTTTTTCATGCCCTGAACTCCTGTCCTTTAGAAGGATGTGAAAATGACGCGCTGCAAATTAGCTCTTTTGTAGTTATGGCGCGTAGAGAGTCTCAAAAGAACCGCGTCCTAGTAAAATTAATTTCATGCCGATTCTTATCGCCTGCAAACCTATCATGCGAATATTTTACATTGCGCGCGTGTGAGAAAGTAGTGTGCAAAGACAGAAAGCAGTCGGAATGGACTGTGTGCCGCGCGGCATGCGGCGAGGCAATGTTGCTGCTCCGAGATGAATCGATAGGAGCTGACCCATCCAGGGCGGCCGGGGCGCCGCCGCCGCCCTGTGGGGCGCGCCGCCCTGTGGGGCGCGCCGCCCCGGGCGGGTAGGCATCCCCGGCTACCAACCCCCGCCCGCCCCAGTGTCCACGCAAAACAAAAGAAAAAAATAAAAAAAATTGAACTTCAACTACTTGTTTTAGCACTGGGAATGCACATACTCAGCTATAGTTAATATGCTGAGCACCAGAGCAGATTTTGGAAGGAAACAAAAAAAAATGACAAAAAGGGAAGTTTTATACTTGTTAAAAAATGACAATAGTCGGCTTGGGTCGTCTTGTACCTATACGCATTATGTGGCACTGTGCAGTGGGAGCCGCCTGTGGTGCAGGCAGTCCCGCCGGGCACGCGCGCGCTGCGGGTCTGCCTACGCGCTCGTTCGCAGGCGGTCGGTCGGGGGCCTGGTGGGCAGACCCGCACGCCCCCAGAGTCGTGCGGGATGGCCTACCCATTAGTTCGCAGGCGCTCTGCAACGAAAACAGGGAGTCGGCAGGCGGCACTGGAAAAACAAAAGGCGTTTGCTCGCACCTTTTGCAGAGGTGCTAAAGACATTTCTTCTTAGTATGTACCAACGTTTTTATCTAGTAATTTGAGTAATTTGTCAGTTACTGAGTATATTTTTATTTTTGCATGGAACTACAGATGCAAGAAATCATTAGCCATAGTAGTATGTGTTAATATTATGAAGGATTAATTGCCTTTTATTGCGAATGAGCTTTTTGAACAGCACTTACTTGAGAAAGGGTTTAAAAATGAACGAATTAAAAAATCAATTTGCTGCTCCTCCCTTGGCTGGGCGTCACCCATGGCCCCAGAGGCCTCCAGCGACAGGACCACTTGCAGCAGCCTGTATTCTCGTGAAATCGGCTCAGCGACTAAAGAGCAGCGCTTATTCATGAGGGGGGACTGTTCGAGGTGATGACAGGCTTAGGTCCCGCCTCCCTTCCCTTCCCTCCCCGCTCCTTTTTAACATATTGCGACCCTCTCTCTCCCCCCACTGAAAGAAAGGATTTTAGCAGAAACAAAAATCGGAAAGCTGCTCCTTGTCTCCTCCCACCTTTTTTTTTTTTGTCGTGTACCGCTCGGCTCCGCACTCATCAAAAAATCTTGACGCTGGGCGGCGCTATCTCAAACTCTCAGCAGCTAATCTGAGGCGGGGCCCCGCTGCTGCTGGCCGTCGGCTCGTCGGGCTTTATCTCCTGATGAGCAGGCGGGGTAGGGCAGCTCGGGCGTGCGGCAGGGGGAAAAGGAGGGGGAGATGAACGGTGTCGGGGGAGACGGCAGGAGCCTCTTGATGCCTATGGCCAGGTGGGGACGGGACTGGGGCACCCTTCCTCCCGGCCCCGCGCCGCCAGCCCGGCCCCACACCCACCTGCACCCCCTACCCCTCTTTCACACTCACGGGAGTGCCAATGGACTCCTGTCTGCCACCCCAATTAGCTCTGGTGTCCAAAGCTATTCATGCGATGGCGATGCCTCCACGTTCCCTCTCTCTCTCTCTCTCCCACACTCAGTCCCCATCCCACACACCGGACGTGCGATTGGGTCCTCAATCAGTTCATTCGAGCAGCAAAAGACCACGCAGTACCCTGACAAATGAAGTTGTTTTTCTTTTCACGGTAAATACTTTTTTTGAGGACGCACTATGTTCATAAAGCTAATATTCAAGAGGTGAGTTGAGAGATATCGCATGCACAGACAGACGGCCCCCGCCCCCTCGCTCTGCCCTCCCCCCACGCGCGGCTGCCCCTTACTCTCCGGTTGTCATCCCCAGGACGCCCCGGCGGCGGCCCGGGCTGCCGGGGAGTCTGTCGTAAACTGTCACGTGACGTGTTTGACGTCTGGGCGTGGCGGCGGCGACGGCCGGGGGTGTAGCTTCTTGGCGTTTTGGGCATCGAGGCGGCGAAGCCCGGCCCCGCGGCGCTGCCAGTGAGGGAGGGAGGGGTGGGGAAGAGGGGGGGGGGTTGACGTCGATGAATTATTTATCCCTGCGCGTTATAGGAAGTGAGAGGGGCAAAGCGAGAAAGAGAGAGGGGACTCTATTCTTTGTCGCGCCGAAGGTTACCATTATACTCTGTAGCATATAAATGTGTTCTTTAATGTAGGCCTTGTGGAGGTAATTATTGGAAATAATATACAGCTGTGAACGAACTTGCGTTTTGCTGCCCTGTGGAGTCATGTCCAAAATGCCACCAAAACATAGGCTTTGAAAAAAAAAAGTTGTCGCATTAAACCATTTAGTCGAAATAAGGAGTGTCGTTGAGTCGAGCGAGAGCCGCAGTGCTTCAGGATTTAGAAGTTTGTCGCGGTCGTTTCCCGGCCTGCACTTGGCCGCCCTATGGTGGTGGTTCTGCTGCCGGCCATGCTGCTGGCTCTGCCGCTGCGGCCCGTTTTTGTGCCCTTCTATTCAAAACCTCCGTGCCGTTTTTAATCATTTTGCCTTTCAGGATATGGACTCTCAGTTGTATGAGGAGCAGGGCAGCCCTGCCGCTTTTATTGTAGCAGTGTCACCGCAGTCAAACTTTAAAAGCCCGCTCCGCCACGGGGCCGTACTGAATGGCGTCTCCATTGATGTCGTCAGTGATAGCCGGCGCCCCCCGTCCCCTCCCCCGACCACAGGTCAGGAACACGTCAACAGATAGGGAGGCGACCGGTTGTCGAAGCAAAATGTAACAGGATGGTACACGAACCACACAATTATTTTCGGGGTGCTGTCATCGTCTGTAATTCGATAAGGCACGGACAACGTCTTTTGATGCCAAGATTCTGCAGAGAGTTAGTAAACCGAGACTGGAAGAAGAAGGGCGAGGTCGCCTAAGGAACACAGTGCCCAATCAAAAAGGCTGTGAACGAAACCGTCTTACACCCGAGAATATCGCGTGTGGTTCGTGTTTCTCCTGAACGTCAAGAGGTGGCCGGGTCAGGCCTCGCTGTCGCTCTCCCTGAAGAAGGTGGGCGCGCTGGCGGGGCGCGGCCGCGCGTCCTGGCCGTCCTCGCGGCCCCAGACGGCCTGCAGCGGCAGGCGGTACTCGGGCGGCAGCGTGTTGATGCGCGCGAACATCTCGGCGCACTGGCTGCGCAGGCCCTCGTCCGCCATGAGGCGCAGGATGCGCTGCTGCGGCGACACGGCCTGCTCCTCGTCGGCCAGCGCGGCCGCAGCGCCGCGCGCCGGCTGCCGCTCCAGCGCGTCTGCGATCTGGGGAGGGGTATGAAACATAATGGGGACTGTCCTTGGAATCCATAGCAAAAGCCCCGTAGGTTATTTTACCCCGGTTTACGAAAAGTATCAACTCCGGAAGAACGAAGGTGCATTGTGCCTTTACAAACGGCTTTAATTTTTAGAATCGTTAGAGATTTTTAGTGCCAATATTGAGGCACTCTAAAATGCTTTTTAGCACCCGTGGAGGACACGACTTGAGCACAACTCTTTTCCACGGAAGGCGCCCCTACACCCGGCTCCGATGACCGTCTTGATCCTTTGCAGAATCCCATAGGATTCTCCTCGGGATTTCCCCTTGTCCTACGTGGATTTACCACAGCCTTGTTCCTGTCCACCCAGCCCCGTGTTATCTTGCCCACCGCTTCACACAAGTTGATTCCCCATCGATGCCCCTTCCCTCCATGTTTGGTATACTCACGGCGTGCAGAATCTCGAGGAGGTACTCGTCCTCGAGCGGCTCGGCCAGCTCGATGGCCTCGCGGATGGAGGTCTTGGCCTCGAGGATGACCTTGAGGTGCAGCTCGGCCTTGCACAGCTCGACGGCCGCCACCACGGCCCACACGTTGTGGCCCACCTCGCGCGCCATGGCCAGCGCCTTGCGCGAGTGGTTGAGGCTCTGCTCCCAGCGGTGCATCTTGCTGCAGCAGTGCGCCATCTCGAAGGTGATGCACAGCCGCTCGAGCTTGGACTTGGCGCGCTTGAGCCGGCGCTCGCTCATGCGCAGCGAGCCACTGCGCAGTCGGAAAGGCATTAGGAAAAGCGTTCAGAGCAAAGCAAAACAAGGGGAAAACTTTGAGGAACTTTCATACACGGTAAAACGTGGCAAAAACAATGTCTGATTCTTCAAAATCTGTGAAGCACAACCACATTTGAGAAAAAAACTCCTCAGATTTTGAGGCAGTCTCCTCAAAAGATGCTGTAATTTGCCTCTTTTTTCAGAAGTTCTCAAAATCTATTTCTCAAATGAGGAAGATCCTCAAAGTTTCCCCTTTTCTTAAAACAAAATTGTTTCACCGGGAGCACTCTAAGCCGTGTGCGAGCATTTCGCTCGTACTCACGCGTAGTCGAAGAAGGGCATGGCCGCCCCTTCCATCATGAGGTCGCTCTTCTCGCCCGTCTGCAGGATGGTGTTGACCTGCTCGCGGCGCTGGCGCGCGCGCTCCTCGGGCCCGGCCTGCACGGCGCCGGGGATGATGAAGTGCAGGTACGTGATGGCAATGAGGTGGTAGAGCAGCGCCTGGTACTCGGCCTTGTCCGGCAGCGAGCGGCGCGACGTCACCTCGAAGAAGACGCGCGCAGCGTGGATTGCCTACGCGCAAAAAAAAAAAACAACAACAAAAAATAACACACACACACACACACACACAACTTGTCATTGTTTGATGATTTATGAAAACTTGTTTTGGAAGCAGTGGGACTGTATTACAAACGTAAACCCCGAGTATGGCACTTTTCTTGACGAGAAAACTCACATGGTATGAAAAACTTTTGTTACCAGACCTACCCTCAATTTGAGGTCCGTGAAGAAATAACACCCCTTTCAAAAGTGCCGTAATTGCTCACCTGCGCCCTTCTCTGAATCACCCGTTACTAGTGCCCAATGTCTGAAATCCCGTTAAAGCTTGCCAGTTGTCACTAACAAATGCTTTCGGCGCACCAACTCACCTGGAAGAAGAGGCGCGGGTCACCGGTGGCCTTGGAGCTGAGGATGCGCAGGATGACGCGGGTGGCGTGCTCCTGGGCCTGCTCCCGCTTGAGCTCCAGCTCCTCGTCGCGACGCTCGCGCAGCTCGGCCGACACGCGCACGGTAGCGCGTTGGTGGATCGCGTACAGCGGGCACTCCACCTCCATGTGGCCCTTTCACCCAGAATTTTGTTTTTCTTCTTAAAAGGGAAAAAAAGGACGTGCGAATGTGGAGAAGGCATTTGACCTAAGGACCGCCCGGCTCTCCAGTGGGCCACGACGGCCTGCTCGAGGGCCTGCTCCTGCTCGTTAGTGGGGGGGATGTCTGAGGCGGCAGAGGCGCCTCCGGAATGGCGTGCCGAACACGGCACGTACGTGTCCGCTATTCGGGTACCCGAATTCTACCCCTCCCCTCCCCTTCTCTCCTTTCCTCTCCCCTCCCCATCCCCCCTTTTCTCCCACGCCTCTACCCCTGCCACATCGCTCAGCGGTTAACCCTTGCAGGCCACCCCGTCCCCATTTGCCTGCCGGTCGGGCTTCTTGGGAATGGCTGGATGCCAGCAGCTCCCCCTCGCCCTTCTCTCCCCCTTCACGCCTGTTACCTCGTGACCCCCTAGGATAAAAGACGGCTGGATGCCCCTCCTCCCCCCGCAACCCTCCCATTTCCTTGCATACGCAAATTCCTTAGCAGTTTTGCTTCTGACTTCGTCTCCGTACCGGTGACCGGTTTCCCCTAGACCAAGAAGAGTTACGTGAAGTTGTCGGACGGCTGTCGACACGTTGAAAAATAAAAGATTCCCGTAAATTGTAAACGATTACTCGATAGGTATCATACTGATCAACAGACAAAAACGTAACAAGAAAGCATTCGCTACGTACACTGGAAAATCAAATGGTAGGATTCGGAGGGTTTTAATGCTTTCAAAAAGGCATCAAAAATTAGCACCTCTGCAAAGGCATGAAAACTGTCCAAAGGTGTCAAAATTTACACTTTCGTGCCTTTGCAAAGGCATAACATTCTTCAAATTATAACAGTCGTTATCAGTTACAGCGTTACAAAAAATATTTCCTGATATCGACTCAATTTACATAATCCACATAATTCTACTTGGAATATGGTGATGATATCGTCTGTCGGGTTATCGACATTCTCTCGACAATGTTCGACAGTTGTTTCATGTTGCTATGATGGGGAATTCGATGTCGCCATGAGCACAGGTCGTGAGGTTGGAGAGCTGGAATACCGGAGACCTCCCCCTCTCCCCTCTCTCGTTGCCCCGCGGTTTGTATTACAGCTTTCCCCATCCCTCCTTTTTCCGCCCTGGATGCCGGGGCCACTCGGCTTGTACAGCGACTCCGCGCACACCGTACACCGTGAATTATTTGGTCGCGTGCCAGGCGCGCGCCGCGGGGACGAACGGCGGAGGAGGAAGAGAGAAAGAGACGGATGGACCAGAAAAAAAATCTGTTCCGTTGTTCTCCGCGTCGTAAATGCTTAATGCCGTCACCGTCGTCGCCGCCAGCCCCCTTCCGACGCGTGGTGACGGCCAGGCAGTAAAGTTTTGTTTCGGAGCACGAGAATGCTTTGAACGAACTATTCGCGTTGGTAAAACTTCTCGCCACGCATTTCCTCATTTCTTTTTTCATTTTTTCTTTCATTATAAAAATTGTGAATAAGTACCCGCGTCCATCCAGTTTCCGCACACTTACCACGCGCTTGAGCATGTCGCCGTTGACGGAGTCCACGTGCCTCCGGATCCACGCCTCGCTCGCGCGGTTGGCCGACGGCAGGGCCGGGTGCTCGCCGAGGCCGTCGATGAACTCGACGTCCTCCGCGAGCGCGCCGAGGAACACGTGCGCCTTGTAGAGCCGCCGCTGGCGGAGGAACTCCCGGTACCGCTGCTCCCGGCACAGCTGCACACGCACACAACCATTAACTTGACGGGCCTCGCACGGGGTTGACAAATACTGATGAGACTCTGCCACTCTGAAAAATATTGGCAGGTTTTCAATGAGAAATGTCGTTAAGTTATACCATATTTAAATTATAAAATCACAATATTCTTCTGACAGTATCGATATCGGATTGATTTATCTTCGATGACCAAAAGAGTGAGCGTTTGAAAATTGTTGATCATTTTTGAATCAAGAAAAATAATAACGCATGTAAACTTCTAGATATTTTCTTCAGTGAGCTCAAAAAAGTTGCAACGTGTGCGTAACACCTACTTACTTGATGTACCTGCCGTTATGACTTCCAAAAAGCCTGGTTTCATATTCAGTACGTAAGTTTTGGAATGCAGTGTACCGACTGTGTATAGAGACCCTCGGCGCCCGTTCTCACGGTGCCTATGCGACGGCGGTGCCTCTGCTTGACGTCACGGCGCCGCTGTCTCCGGGCGCCTTCCTTCCCTCCTCACCTCCTCCTTGGACTTGGCCCTGGGGCGCTGCTTCCTGGGCGGCGCGATCTCGTCCTCGGGCTCGGGCCGCAGGCTGTCCAGCAGCTCGGGCTGCTCCAGTATCCGCTCCAGCAGGTCCGCCGCGGCCGCGCCCACGCACTGTTCGAGGGTCGCTATGGTCTGGCAGTGGAATTCTCAACGTGTAAGCAGTTACAGATATGTAAATTGTAGCCTTTTTGAGTGGGCAGTGTCCGGTTACGTGTCTGCTGTACCGTGTAGTACATGTCGGTAAAGTACGGCGAGTGCCTGAGCGGGGTCATGCCCCGGGCGGCCAGCATCGCGGCCTTCTCGAACTCGCCGCCCTGCCACAGCGCCTCGACCTGGGTCCGGCGCGCGCTCCTGGGCACCGTCCGCTCCTGGGCGGCGTACGCCTCCTCCAGCTGGACATCGAGACATTAAGCCTTCATTGATTGTGTTCCCCAAATTCCCTGACCTCCACCATTTTACTTTTGAAACCCAATTTTACAAAAACTAACTATAATAGAAAACAAACATTTCGATTTCAAAAAAGGATGCGTTTGTTTGTGATAGGTTTTTGTTATTCGGTGTGTCTGTGGTCGGGGGCAGATTTGTTTCAAGTGTGTGGCAAACACCACCTTTGCGAGCTCCTCCAGCGCCTCGGCGAAGTACGCGAGCTTGACCAAAGTGACCGCCCTGGGCTCCAGTGGCTCCGTGCTCTCCGGGTCCAAGTCCACAGCCACGTCGTAAAACCGCATTGCTGGAGACACATTTCCCCATTTTCCCATTTAATTTCTGTCTCATAGGTTTATGAGATGAGATCTGAATTGATTTAAACATATGGGCGGTGCTGTGCTGCTTCCCGGCGTCTTGCCTCTCTTGTACTCGCTGAGGCGGTGCACCCGCCGGCCCACGTCCAGGAACACGGTGACGGCATTGAGGACGTTCTCCTCGTCCAGGTTCATGCGCTTCGGCCGGCTCTTGTCCTCCGGCATGGTGTGTGCGGAAGGGTGAGTGTGCGTGAGTGAGAGAGAGCGAGAGAGCAGCTGGCTACTGTGCGACGGGGTGGTGGCGCGGCGGTTGTGGTGGTGGTGGTTGCCTAGTCATGCCGGGGCTGTCCGCAGGTCCGATTGTTGTGTAACAAGTGGCACGTATCGGCCCGCCCGCTCCCCGCGCTCCCTTCCCCTCCCCCGTCCCCTGTCCCACCCATCTCCCGCTCACTCGCTCCCGAAGGGGATAATGTCAAACGGCGGACGGTCGGATGGACGGGCAGACGGACAGACTGGGTCCGCTGCTGAGATGGAAATCAAGTAGACTTGCAGAGCTATACTCTCCTGCCGGGCTGCTGCCGGCCCGAGCTGGCTCCAGGGGGATCGGGAGGGATCAGCCTGTCAGAAGGGCGCGTCGCTCCCCTGAGAAGGAAGACGACAAAGTGGATCCCCGTCCATTGCAATTCGTTATTTTTTTCCTCGGTTTTTTCATTGTTTTTTGTATTTTAGTTTATTTTTTGCCCTTTTTTAAAAAAAATTGATCCTTTTTGTTTGACGAGCAGAAGCACTGTGCAATCTCATAAAGCTGCTGATGCTGACAGTGCGGCGACATAGTCGAGTTCCTCTGGACTTTACGAAACCGCGGGAAGTGTTTGAATGTGTACCGCGGACGCTTGCCTTACACTCCTCAGGCGAGTCCGTCCGGCACACGCAGACGTCCTTCTGCTGCACCCAGCGCCACGGTTAATCGCAATGAAAGGACTTCCAAGGGCCTGGAATTAACACGTCGTCGAATATGTTTTTTCCCCTTCCCCCACTTGTCGAGCTTGTTAGAAAAGTTCCTTCAAGACTCTTGGCGCGCGTCGCTTTTCGAGAGGGAGAGAGGGGGGGGGGGGGGGAGTAGGGCCCTAGCGTGGCGTGAGTGAAAGTAAGTAAGGGAGATGCGGCGCGCTGGGGGTTGCGAGGCGAGGGCGTGGAAGTGAGAAAGACTAATTGGGCTCAGAGTTGTGGGTGTTAATTACCGGAAGAGCCGCCGCGCCTTCCTCCCGCCCGTTTCCCGCGCGCCCCGCATAGCGGCCCGCCGCCGGCTCCGCGGCTGAAATGCAGACGTGTGATGTATCTCTAATAGATCAGGTGGGTGGTGCCGAGCGGCCGAGGGATGTGGCTAACACCGCCGGCGCTGGCTGCCACGCCCCGCCACGCCTCCCTCGTATCATGAGCGCGGCTTCTCCCGGCCCCCCCGTTCCTCTAATATTTATTTTAATACGTTTCGCTGGACGCGGGCCGGACGCTCCCTCCCGGCCGGCCGCACACGTACGGGCCGCCGGACCGGAATAAGTGAAACGTTGCGGATGTGCCGGACCGGAAGTGAAACACGGAATCTGCCAACGACGCGCCCGCCGCGTCTTCAAAAGCAGCTTGGGACTGGATTAATAAAATGCTTTGTTTAGGAGACGGCCTGATGCAGATTGGTTGTGATTGTTGTTCCAATGATATTATTTTTGCGCGCTAATTTTTTTGCTGTTTGTGATTTTTTGATTTCAGGATCTAATGAGGGTGGGGCAGTCAGGGTCGCGCGACAGAGAGACAGCGGCCTGCTGCTGAATATGAAAAGGTGAGCGGGGAGAGAAAAATAAAGGGAGAGAGAGAGGGGGAGAAAGAGAGAAAGAAAGAGAGAGAAAGAAAAGCGTGAGAGAAAGAAGGGAGGGTTGATATGAAAATCTGTGGCCCCTGTCGCCGTCGTCGTCCTGCGTGTGCGGGTACGGCATGCTCGGGGGTTGGGGGGG